CTTCTAACAACCTTTTTCAACCAGAGTGCCTTCTTAGTAAAATGCCCAAACATTGCTCCAAATTGCCAAAAAAAACTGTGTACAAGCTAATGGGTGGAGCCTGCTTTATTGTCACATAGAGCCACAGGTTTTCTTTGTGCAGCATTACAACCTTGGGAGCTGTGCAGGCCAGATGCCAGCATCCTAACAACTGATAACATTATTGGTTGATAAGAAGAATATTGGGTACCTGCACAGCATCCTTGTTTAACCCCCTTCCGCCCCTTTCTGTCAGCCTTGTGGTCACAATATATGCATGGGGGAGATAAAATGAGAAAGATGAAATGCTGGAATACTACTCCGTGCCAGTGTGCAAAAATGTATTTTCATTGAAGAATGAATCCCCTCTAATGTTGGGTTTCCCATGTGTGTGGATGCTGCCGCAATATGTAAAAATATTAGTTTCATTTTTTTAAATTTTAGAATGGGGTCCCTCAAGATTGTCCATAACTTTAAAGGGTGCCTTGACCTGGAAAAAGGTTGAGAACCCTGCACTAAAGCAATGCACATCCATTGCAGCATGTCACAATGTGTTGCAGTATTATGCGTTACAAATTTTGTGTCATACACCTGGTTTTTGGAACGCTTTCATGAATTGATAGCCCATCAGTTTCAATGGTCTGCCTTAACTTAACTTTAAGCTTTTTTAATATATCCAGGTTTACCAAGGAACTATCACCTACTCTGCTCACTTTTAGGCAATCTCTGAAAACCTATCTCTCAGGGAAGCCTATCCTGCCCCTCAGCTAATAATGGAGTCTTCTACTCCTCCTACCAGTCCATCCCCCACAGTTATTAAACCTTTTGTACCACTAGCCCCTCCCTCTTAGATTGTAAGCTCCAAGGAGCAGGGCCCTCCTAACCCTCTTGTATTGAACTGTATTGTTGCTGTATTGTCTACCGTTATATTGTAAAGCGCTGAGCAAACTGTTGGCGCTATATAGGTTTACGGGTAACAAAGATTTAAGTCCAGGCAGGCTCACAGGGAACAAAGGGTTAAGTCTATGCTGGGGAGAGATCCAGGCAGCAGGCTCAGGGGGAACAAAGGGTTAAGTTCAGGCAGGCTCACAGGGAACAAAGGGTTAGGTCCAGGAAGGGGAGAGATCCAGCCTGCAGGCTCACAGATAACAAAGGGTTAAGTCCAGGCAGGCTCACAGGGAACAAAGGGTTAAGTCCAGGCAGGGGAGAGATCCAGTCCGCAGGCTTACGGGAAACAAAGGGTTAAGTCCTCCAGGGGAGAGATCCAGGCAGCAGGCTCAGGGGGAACAAAGGGTTAAGTCCTCCAGGGAAGAGATCCAGTCAGCAGGCTCAGGGGGGCAGCAGAAGGTTCCTCCACAGTGAGGAAATCCAGGGAGCACAGAGTTAACCCCACACAGGGGAGGGATCCAGCAGCAGACTGGCAGTCAGGTCAGCCAGTGAGAGGAGAGGAGAGCAGGGGGATGGAAACCCAGAGGAGGCTGGCCACAGCCCAGACCTCACTCATACACAGCAGGCAGGAGAACACACGGGGCCAGCGCCCTGCTCTGTCTTAAGTACAGAGCCAGGCGCGTTGCCGGGGTAACCCAAGACTTTGCGTCCAGTTACCATGGCAAAGGTCCCCGCCCCTGCATCTCCGGACCCACACAGGGAACGCGGCCTTTGTCCCTGTCGGGCACGGAGCGCGGGAAGACATGCACGAGGGGACAGAGAGGGGTTGACAGGAGGGAGCTTGCCTGCGGATTCCCACAGCAGGGGGGGCGACTTTCTGGCACCCAGCCAGGGAAGCAGGATGCTCCCTCAGCAGGGGACCAGATTGCCGGCGACGGGGGTGAGGGGCCGCTGGGGCTGCCAGTGTCAGGGGCAAGGAGGACTAGAAGTCCCAGCATGGACGAGACAGAAGAGTGTGGGGCTGCTGAGGGGTGGGGGGTGGCAGGCAACAAGCCTGGAGGATGGGGGGGGGAAGGACCAGCTCCGTGACAATGTGCTCTGTAGCAAAAGACAAAAATATTCAAAACACTAAGGGTGGCTTCTGTTCCACATATCTGTTTGCTTTGATGACTTCAATGCCACAAGTCATAAACAATGATTTTCGTGCTGCACACATGTAATCCCTGGAGAAACAGATCTCAAACTGCCTGAAGTAGCTACCACAAGTATTGCTTTTTGGAGGCAAGAAGGTGGCCTCTATGTTGTAATAGGTCGGCAGAAAACAATGAGAAAAATGACAGTGCCCACCTCCCTGATTGTAAACAGCACTCTCTATGGGAAGGAACAAGTTAAACTGCAGAAGTAGCTGTAGTAAACCGAAGACCAGAACTGTTCAAGAACAGTTTAAAGAATGACTTTGTGTTGACTTTTTAGGCATTATTAACCATGTTATTGCTGTTAAAGTTTCTAAAGGTACAGTCATCCATTCACAAACATGACTCAAAATTAGTACCTGTTAAAAATACGGTACTGTACCTTTAATTATTTAAATTTTTTTCAGGTATTTATATAGCGCCGTCTATTTACGCAGCGCTTTACATATATATTGTACATTCACATCAGTCCCTAACCCTCAAGGAGCGTACAATCTAAGGTCCCTAATTTACATTCATACATACACATACTAGGGCCAATTTAGACAGGAGCCAATTAACCTACCAGCAAGTCTTTGGAGTGTGGGAGGAAACCAGAGTATCCGGAGGAAACCCACGCAGGCACAGGGAGAACATGCAAACTGCAGGCAGGTGGTGCCGTGGTTGGGACTCATCTTTTAGTTATTATTTGCAGTAAAAATATCACTAAAGCATGAAAATCACCCATGGTGGACATTACTATGACAAAAAATATGATCTCCTGGATTGTGCTTCATGAAATAATGGCAAACATTTTACAGGACAGGAAAGGTCTGAGAGAGTCTTGAACTCATGAATACACTATATACAGTCCTCTATTCGATAATTTGATAATGGGGTAGGGTGGTTCTTTGACCAAGAAAAGGTTTTCTTTCTTCTCTGTTGTTTTCTAATGTTCTTATCTTACCTCCACCTCTTATTTTTTTTTTTTCCATTTAGGAGTGTTCACTCTCTTTATGGTTAACTATTAATTGAAACTATTGGGGGATTATAATATAGTTTGCTTGGACTGGGGCATCAAGTCTGTGCAATATCCCCAAATCCTCAGGCTTACCTTTGCTCCCTAGGCTAGAAGCCAACATGCCTGGACTCGGACCTTATCACCTGGAAATGGGCTTTCTTTAATGGCCTCTTGGCTTGCGTTTGCTAAATACATTTGCATTATTTTCTACTTTATATATGAAGTGTCCTAAAGGCAACAAACATGTGTTTGTAAAATGTCTTCATTAAACTCAATAAAAGCCATTGAAACATAAAATTTTATTCTAGGCAAGTTACAAAAAGGCAATGTAAACTCAATTTGTATGTTTCCGACAAACTCATTATCACCATGAAAAACACAGACATGGAGATCACCCTGGAATAAGAGATGGTTAACATTGCCATGTGTGTGATAGTGAAATGCCCAAAAAAGGCCTAAGGCTACTGGATAATTGTTCCGTCTCAGAAATACATTTAGAAAAACGAAGGACATTGATTACAATCACAACACAAAGGATGGCTGATTGGGAACTGCAATAAATTTCCTAAAATGTAAAAAAAATGATAATCTGCTCTTCGAAGAGTGAGCAATCACTGAAGATTATTTGCAATAAGAGGCCCAGCAGTGAGAAGGAAGATTTGAAGTACAAATAATTTTAAGGTAGAAAAGCCCAATTTGAATAGTCATGATGGATTAGTTAGCATAAATCTATTCATCAGTTATGAAGAGGCAGCCGAAAAAAAATGATTTGCAATATTTTTGTTAAGAGGGTAAAAGATTTCACTGTAAAAGTTTTCTAGTTTCTGTGTATGTAAAAGTATTTGAATGGAAAAACTTTTTTTAAAAGTAAAATTTCAGCAAAAATAAACTAAAAATAAACAGCCCATGAAAAAAAAAAAAATCAAAGCCAGATGTTGCTGCAATAATTACCTTCAGTCCAGAGATTTGCCCCACAGTACTTTTTTTTCTGCCAGTAGATGTCCTCATTCTGATGACGTGCATCATTCATCACATTTCTTCTGCCCCAGCCTGTAACTGGACAGTAAAAGTAGAAGCAGCACAGTAATGAGCTCATTTCTTTGTCACTCTGCTCTCTCCCCCTATCAGCATCAGCTTCTTAACAGCCCATGAACTGATTGGCTCCTTGTAATGCGTCTTCCTCCTGCACTCCACTTCTGCTATACAGGGACTGCAAGAGGCTACTTCCAGGTCAAATGTAAATAATTACATTGTGTACAGGAAAAAAAATAATTTAATGATGTAATAACCAATACAGAGCTGCATTAAATTGTGTCTTATATACGCACTATGACCACTACAAGAGGCTGAGGAGCATACTTGCTTCCTCTAATTTGTTCCAATTTGGTTTGTCTTTCTATAGCACTTTTCTCCCTGGGGAATTTAAAGCGTTTAGCAAGTGAAGCAGCCATCTTGGCTTGAGCAAATTAACCTATAGTCAGTGCCATCTACCTTCCATAATTTGGTTTTCTCCATTTAATCTGCAGAAAATAAAGCCTGAGAATATTTGGTTTTGCCCAATGCACAAAATGAATTTACATGCAGTTTTGGAAAAAAAATAATCATGTAATTCTATTTTTTTAATACAATTATATATATATATATATATATATATATATATATATATATATATATATATATATATATAAACACACTATATTGCCAAAAGTATTGGGATGCCTTTACATGCACATGAACTTTCATGGCATCCCAGTCTTAGTCTGTAGGATTCAATATTGAGTTGGTCCACCCTTTGCACCTATAACAGCATACCAGCTTCAACTTTTCTGGGAAGGCTGTCCACAAGGTTTAGGAGTCTGTCTATGGGAATGTTTGACCATTCTTCCAGAAGTGCATTTGTGAGGTCAGGCACTGATGTCGAATGAGAAGGCCTGGCTCACAGTCTCTGCTCTGTCTTGGTATGCTGACGCCTTAAAAGTTCCCTTCACTGGAACTAAAGGACCATAACCCCCTCTCCACCAAATTCTACACTTGGCACATTGCAGTCAGACAAGTACTGTTCCTGGCAACTGCCAAACCCAGACACATCCATTGGATTGTCAGACAGAGAAGCGTAGTTTATCACTCCACAGAACATGTCTCCACTGCTCTAGAGTCCAGTGGCGGCGTGCTTTATACCACTGCATCTGACGCTTTGCATTGCACTTGGTGATGTAAGGTTTGGATGCAGCTGCTCGGCCATGGAAACCCATTCCATGAAGCTCTCTAGACACTGTTGCGGTGCTAATCTGAAGGCCACACAAAGTTTGGAGGTCTACAGTAAGTTGGCGACTTCTGCACACTGCGCTTCAGCATGTGCTGACCCAACTCTGTTATTTTACGTGGCTTACCATTTGGTGGCTGAGTTGCTGTTGTTCCCAGTGGCTTCCACTTTGTTATAATACCACTAACAGTTGACCGTGGAATATTTACTAGCAAGCAAATTTCATGGATGGACTTATTGCACAGGTGGCAACCTATGATGGTACCATGCTTGGATTTACTGAGCTCCTGAGAGCGACCCATTCTTTCACAAATGTTTGTAGAAGCAGTGTGCATGCCTAGGTGCTTGATTTTATACACCTGTGACCATGGAGGGGATTGGAACACCTGAATCCAATGATTTGGAGGGGAGTCCCAATACTTTTGGCAATATAGTGTATATTTAAAAAAAATGACCCTGAAGATGGTCATTAGACATTGTAAAAATAATATTTGCTCCCCTTTCCTGCTGATGCTTTGGCTTCAATACTTTAAGGTATGTTTACTTTTACATGAAAAATGAAAAGGTGAATTTACCCCAAATATCTTGGCCAACCCTCTGGACCCCGCTGCAGTGGCTGTGATGTCCTGTGTTGCTGGTGTAGTGGTCCGTACACCATAATACAGAGCACTGGAATAAGAATTCTTCATAATGTTCACAAGCACTCATAGTCAGTGGAACTACATGACTACGCCGACCCATAAAAAGCCCTTCTTTCTTCAGAACACTTTACCAGAAGCAGAAGCCTCAGATGTGTTTCTCATTGGTAAGCACAGTCATGCGCCATGCTGACCAATGGGCGCTTGTAGACATGTGTGGTTTGTTTGATTTTGAATTCAAACACATTTTTAGTTATTTGGACATTCGGATATCTCAGAAATTTCCGAATTACATTAGTAACGAATCTGCAATAACAAAATTATATTGTGAATCAAATTTGAATCGAATTTTAATATGAAAAGAATAGAATAGAACATAAAAGAACAGAATATAATAGATTAGAATAGAAATATAAAATAATAGAATAGACAACAAAAGAATAGAATAGAATAGAATAAAATATGAAAGAATAGAAAAGATTAGAATAGAATAGAATAAAATAGAATAGAATCAAATAGAATATAACGGTCTTCCACAATTCAAATAAAATAAATTTGAATAAGAATAGAATAGATTAAAAAGAATAGAAAAGACAATAAAATAATAGAAAATAATAGATTAGAATTACTATCAAATAGAATACAATATAAAAGAATAGAACATAATAGAATAGTAAAAAAAACAATAGAATAGAATAAAATAGGAAGAATATAACTATCTTCTGAAATTCAAATTTCGAATAGAATAAATTAGAAAAGAACAGAATAGAAAATAAGAGAATAGAAAAGAATAGAATATAAAAAAAAGAATAGATTAAAATAGAAAGAATATAACTGTCTTCCAAAATTAAAATTTGAACAGAATAGAATAGAAAAAAACAATAGAAAGAATATAACCATCTTCCAAAATGCGAATTTCAAATAGAATAAATCTGAATAGATTAAAAAAGAATTGAATAGAAAATAAGAAAATAGAAAAGAATAGAAAAGATAGAATAGAAAGACTATAACCATCTTCTGAAATTTGTATTTCAGATATAATAAATTAGAATTCAATGCCAATTCGAATTCAAATTTGGTTGAATAGAATTTGAATCAAATCACAATTGAATCGAATTTGAAAATTGCGAAAAAAATAATTAAACTAATTTAACAAAACATAATTCTTTAAATTACGAATCAAACGAAAACGAACAAAACAAATGTTTTCATTCTGCAGATGTCTAAGCGCTTTCCTTTGCTGTGTATTGTGGTGACAGACAGCTACACCAGCAGCACAGGGCATCGCATCCTCTATGTGCAGCGGGGTCTGGAGGGGTGGCCAGGATATTTGGAGTTAGTTCCCCTTTCCATTATTCATGCATTCATTTAAATGCGTCTGAATGTATTGAATCCAAAGCATCAGCAGGACAGTTAAGCAAAGATAAGGTTTACAATGTCTAATGACCGTGTTCAGGGTCTTCTGAAAACGGCCTATCGGCTGAAACGCATGTTAAGCCATAGACTTTAGTGCTGACATTATGCCGCTGCATGATATCGGTCAGCTGCGACTTTCTAAGGGAGTTACAGCGTTTTTTGCATTGATATATCGAGTCGTTTGTTTGGCTTGCTACATATTCTGTATACATATACATATATACAGTGGGGATCGAAAGTTTGGGCACCCCAGCTAAAAATTTGTATTAATGTGCATAAAGAAGCCAAGGAAAGATGGAAAAATCTCCAAAAGGCATCAAATTACAGATTAGACATTTTATAATATGTCAACAAAAGTTAGATTTTATTTCCATCATTTACACTTTCAAAATAACAGAAAACAAAAAAATGGTGTCTGCAAAAGTTTGGGCACCCTGCAGAATTTATAGCATGCACTGCCCCCTTTGCCAAGCTGAGACCTGCCAGTGTCATGGATTGTTCTCAATCATCGTCTGGGAAGACCAGGTGATGTCAATCTCAAAGGTTTTAAATGCCCAGACTCATCTGATTTTGCCCCAACAATCAGCACCATGGGTTCTTCTAAGCAGTTGTCTAGAAAACTGAAACTGAAAACAGTTGACGCTCACAAAGCTGGAGAAGGCTATAAGAAGATAGCAAAGCGTTTTCAGATGTCAATATCCTCTGTTCGGAATGTAATTAAGAAATGGCAGTCATCAGGAACAGTGGAAGTTAAAGCAACATCTGGTAGACCAAGAAAAATATCAGACAGAACAGCTCGCAGGATTGTGAGAAAAACAATTCAAAACCCACGTTTGACTGCACGATCCCTCCAGAAGATCTGGCAGACACTGGAGTTGTGGTACACTATTCCACTATAAAGAGATACTTGTACAAATATGGTCTTCATGGGAGAGTCATCAGAAGAAAACCTCTTCTACGTCCTCACCACTAAAATCATCGTTTGAACTTTGCAAATGAACATATAGACAAGCCTGATGCATTTTGGAAACAAGTTCTGTGGACCGATGAGGTTAAAATTGAACTTTTTGGTCGGAATGAGCAAAGGTACGTTTGGAGAAGAAGGGGCACAGAATTTAATGAAAAGAACCTCTGTCCAACTGTTAAGCATGGGGTTGGATCAATCATGCTTTGGGGTTGTGTTGCAGCCAGTGGCACAGGGAACATCTCACGAGTAGAAGGAAAAATGGATTCAATAAAATTTCAGCAAATTTTGGATGGTAACTTGATGCCATCTGTGAAAAAGCTGAAGTTAAAGAGAAGATGGCTTCTACAAATGGATAATGATCCTAAACACACCTCGAAATCCACGGGGGATTACATCAAGAGGCGTAAACTGAAGGTTTTGCCATGGCCTTCACAATCTCCTGACCTCAACATAATTGAAAATCTATGGATAGACCTTAAAGAGCAGTGCGTGACAGACAGCCCAGAAATCTCAAAGAACTGAAAGACTTTTGTAAGGAAGAATGGGCAAAGATACCTCAAACAAGAATTGAAAGACTCTTGGCTGGCTACAAAAAGCGTTTACAAGCTGTGATACTTGCCAAAGGGGGCAGTACAAGATATTAACTCTGCAGGGTGCCCAAAACTTTTGCAGATGCCATTTTTTTTTTTGTTTTCTGTTATTTTGAAAGTGTAAATGATGGAAATAAAATCTAACTTTTGTTGACATATTATAAGAATGTCTAATCTGTAATTTGATGCCTTTTGGAGATTTTTCCATCTTTCCTTGGCTTCTTTATGCACATTAATACAAATTTTTAGCTGGGGTGCCCAAACTTTCGATCCCCACTGTACATACAGATTTCTCAAAAAGAAAGAGGACTCTCATGTATCAGTCTCTGGATATACAATGATACATTTATTTCCATAGTATAAAGGGATTGTAAAAGTACAGTGGACATTTGTTTTTTTCACATTTTGTTTTTTTCACACTTTATTTATATTAGATTTTATTTTAGTTTATTTTTTACACGTAATCAATGTGTTTTTGATGATAATAATAGAGGAGCGCAGCACGATATTTATCTATATATTGGTTGACACTATTGTATGAGTTGGTGTGATGTGTTTGCGAACCTAAAAAAAATTTTTTTTGATTTAATATATGTTTATTGAATATTTTTGGGTTGTGTTTGCAGAGAATTCACTGTATTGGCTCACAGGTGGACAGTTGGTTTTACATATACAGGTGAAACTCAAAAAATTAGAAAATCGTGCAAAAGTTCATTTATTTTAGTAATGCAACTTAAAAGGTGGAACTAATATATGAGATAGACTCATTACATGCAAAGGAAGATAGTTCAAGCCGTGATTTGTCATAACTGTGATGATTATGGCTTACAGCTCATGAAAACCCCAAATCCACAATCTCAGAAAATTAGAATATTGTGAAAAGGTGCAATATTCTAGGCTCCAAGTGTCCCACTCTAATCGTCTAATTAAGCCATAACACCTGCAAAGGGTTCCTGAGCCTTTAAATGGTCTCTCAGTCTGGTTCAGTAGGAATCAAAATCATGGGAAAGACTGCTGACCTGACAGTTGTGCAGAAAACCATCATTGACTCCCTCCATAAGGAGGGAAAGCCTCAAAAGGTAATTGCAAAAGAAGTTGGATGTTCCCAAAGTGCTGTATCAAAGCACATTAATAGAAAGTTATGTGGAAGGGAAAAGTGAGGAAGAAAAAGGTGCACAAGCAGCAGGGATGACTGCAGCCTGGAGAGGATTGTCAGGAAAAGGCCATTCAAAAGTGTTGGGGACTTTCACAAGGAGTGGACTGAGGCTGGAGCCAGTGCATCAAGAGCCACCACACACAGACGGATCCTGGACATGGCCTTCAAATGTCGTATTCCTCTTGTCAAGCCACTCCTGAACAACAAACAACTTCAGAAGCGTCTTACCTGGGCTAAAGAAAAACAGACCTGGTCTGTTGCTCAGTGGTCCAAAGTCCTCTTTTCTGATGAGAGCAACTTTTGCATCTCATTTGGAAACCAAGGACCCAGAGTATGGAGGAAGAATGGAGAGGCACACACTGCAAGATGCTTGAAGTCCAGTGCGAAGTTTCCACAGTCCGTGTTGATTTGGGGAGCCATGTCATCTGCTGGTGTTGGTCCACTGTGCTTCATTAAGTCCAGGGTCAACGCAGCCGTCTACCAGGAGATTTTGGAGCACTTCATGCTTCCTTCCGCAGACGAGCTTTATGGAGATGCTGACTTCATTTTCCAGCAGGACTTGGCACCT